CTGATGAAGGGTCTAGGCCCGAAACGTCAGCCTCTCTGCTCCTATGATGCTGCTTGGCCTGCTGTGTTCATCCAGCCCTGCACCTTATTTACTGGTACATGTCTTTTTTAAAAAGACACTTTGTCCATGATTTTTATATAGACAATTCACAACAAATACATGTAAAGAGAAGAAAACATTAAGACAGTTTGAGGAGAGTGATGATTTGCAAGTGGACCCTGATTCATAGAATTGCATGGAGAATCTTCCTCCTCATAGTGTTTTCTCTTGCATTGATTTTCTAGTGAATTGTTCCTATGAGTGAAAGACCAAAAGCTTTCCCTTTGTGGGAGGGTCTAGGATAAAGGTATATAATCTTACAATGAAAGATTCCACATTTAAAGTACAGTAAGGAATTTCTTCTAAGAGTCTGCAGCTATGGAGTTTTTAATTGCAGAGGGCTGTGGAGGCTGGGTCATTACATATATTCGAGGCTGTAGTCGAGGTTTTTTAAATCAGTAATGGAATCGAGGGTTATGAGGATAAGGCAGGAAAGTGGAGTTGAGGGTTATCAGAGCGGTCAAGATCTCCATGGGTGCAGCAGTCTCAATGGGTTCAATAGCGTACTTTTGCTCCTGTGTCTCCATGCATATTCGCTTCAATCAAGTACCTAAACCTAAATCTTATGACATAGACTGTAATGCTAAAAGTTCACCCACTAGCATTGAATCCTCTTTACCTAGTTCATTTCTAGAACAATATTAGCTTTCGAACAAATCGGATTGGGAAGATACTGAAACTTCATCTGAACGTATTTTAGAAACACTTCGTTTAAAAAAAAACCGAAAGAAGTGCGGATGCTGTGAATCAGGGACAAAGACAAAATTGCTGGAAAAGCTCAGCAGGTCTGGCAGTATCTGTGAAGGGGAAAAAAAAGTAAACTTTTCGGGTCCGAGACCCTTCCTAAGAACCCGGACCCGAAACCTTTACTCTTATTTTTTCCTTCACAGGTGCTGCCAGCCCTGCTGAGCTTTTCCAGCAACTTTGTTTTTGTTAAAACACTTCGTCTTGCTTTACTATTACGAGCAGGTTTTGAAGAAGTCATACCGGATTCTGCGCTTTCTCTTTATTTCAGATTTCCAGCCTCCATGGTGTTTTATTCTCATTGCTGTCGCAGTTTATTTGAATAATGAAAGTTATACCTAACTTCGATAGTTTTTGCATCTCCCTGAAATTGCCTTCTACTTTATTCTTTGTATAAATTAAATGGTTTAGCCTTTTAGGGGTGTTTATAGGTGTGGGGTGAATAGACTTAAATCCTGAAATCCGCAAGCTAGGGCAGTCACATTTCTGAAACCCTTTGAAGGTATCGATCTTCACTGGCACCTCGCTAAATCTCCATCGCTTTGCAATAGTGTGACAAAGGGTTAATAATAACGTGTGCAGGGGAAAAAAATCCTAGTAACCTGAATACTTTTCTCTTGCCTCAAGACTACAACGCTAACGAACACTTGGGTTAATTACAAAGTTCACTTTCATTACAAAACACCATGCCTGCCCCTCACAAAGATGGTACTGTTGACCATAGTCGACAAAATGTGGAGCTGGGGGGCGGGGAGCACAGCAGGTCCCGAATAGCAGGGAAGTCCTGATCAGCCCTGATGAAGGATTCTAATCCGAAACGTCAACTTTCCTGCTCCTCTTATGCTGCCTGGCCTGCTGTGTTCCTCCAGCTCCATACTTTGCTATCCGAGACCACCCAGTAACTCGATTGCCCCTCACAAGCATGTCGCAAGCCCACCGTCCACTCTTCCAAAAAATGGCAGCCTAACACAGCCCGACATTGAACCCTCACAAAGATGGCGCCATATCCATTCGTTGAACGTCATACCCAGGGAGTTCTCGCGAGACGTGGAAAGGACTTATGGCCCAGAAATCTTTGCGTTTCCTCTTTCCCCACGGCGCTTGGAAATGGGTAAGTTGATAATTTGAATTTGTTGATAGTGGAATCCGAATCCATCTGCAACTGGATCCAGTTGGGCTCGGCAAAATCTCTCAAATTTGATTGCAGACAGTGTGGAGATGAGGATGTACTGTGGTTGGGCTGACGGGTCGAGCTGATTCTGGTACTATTTTAATGTTTTAACATGGTCTGGTGGAGAGATCCGACATGGCGCCGTCAGGCTCTGCCTGCAAAGAGGGAGACGGGCCTACACCAGCCGCGTGGAGATCTGACAATATACTCCTTACCACCTCCCTTACAGAGACAGAAAACACTGGCCGAGATGCAAACCCCGCGGCCTGAATATTGGGAATCAAAGGAAGGACAACAGAGGCTGCGGCTCTTATACTGAGGCCCTGCTGTTCCAGAAGTAATTGCCCTGTACACGTAGTTTACAATTTCTGTTTATTATTTTGCCTCAGAACTTGCTTCATTAGGGATTGGTTATCAATGTGACGTGATGCCCCAAGCCAAAAGTTGCATTTGTACCCAGGTGATTGGTAAAGTAGTAAAGTATGATCCACGTCCATCAGGTTATTTGTGCTGCACTTTTCAAACCTTCTTCGTGGATTGCGATTTCTTTTGCATCACTATGGTTAGTTTTCTTCACGAAGCAATTTGAGATTTCTTCTGTTTTGCAGAGCAGTTAAAGTGTATACCAATTTCAGTCAGCAAAATTTTGTTACTTCGTGGTATTACAGTTTTATTGTAAAGGCTCTGGTCCATAATTAACCAGATGTAAACAATGGAGCCCACTGTGTTTGATGCTATTGAGTTTATTTTCTGGAGAGCTAATATATTAGCAAGTAGTGACTAATGGGGTGCTGCAGGGATCATTGCTTAGGACCCCAGCAGTTTGCAATGTACAATAAAGATTTGACTGAGAGAGCTAAATGCAATAACTCTAGATTTGTACATAACACTAAGACGAGTAAGAAGGTGAGTTGTGAGGAGGGTACAGAACTGTTTCAGTGTGATTTGGACAAGGTGAGTTGAGTAGGCAATGCAAAGCAGTGTAGATTTATGTGAGGTTATCCATTTTGGGAGCAAAAACAAGAAGGCAAGTTATCACCTGGCTATAAATTGAGAGAAGGGAGGGCGCACCGAGACCTTGGTGCCTTTGTACGCTAGTCATTGAGGTTAAACATGCAGATATGGCAGGTGGTCAAGAAGGCAAATGATATGTTGCCCTTCATAGTGAAAGGATTTCAGTACATTGGCAGGGATATCTTGCTGTAATTATACAGGGCCTTGGTGAGGCAGGACTGACATACAAGGAGCGGTTCAATCAGTCAAGACTTCACTCATTCACTGGAGTTGAGAAGAATGAGGGGAGATCTCAGAAAACTGTAAAATTCTAGCAGGACTGGACAGGGTAGATGCAGGAAGGATGTCCCAGATGCTGGGAGATCCAGAACAAGCCTTCACTATCTAAGGATAAAGAGTAGACTATTTCAGACTGAAGTGTAGAGAAACGTCTTCGATGAAAGAGTGGTGAGTCTGTGGAATTCACTACTATAGAAAGCAATTGAGGCCAAAACGTCATATGATTTCAATGTGTCAGATATAGCATCTGGGGCTAAAGACATCGAAGGATATGGGGGAAAGGTGGGAATAGGCTTATTGAGTTGAGTGATCAGGCCAAGATCATAATGAATAGCAGGGCAGATTGAAGGGCTGAATGGCCTACTCTTTTCTGTTTTGCTCCTATATTTCTATTTTGTATTCTGATTACACAGCTTCTTAAAACTTATTTCATTACAGGTATTTCCCGGAACAATTGGCACAAGCGTCGCAAGACTGGAGGCAAAAGGAAGCCATATCATAAAAAAAGAAAATATGAACTTGGTCGTCCTCCTGCAAATACCAAGGTATGAGAAACGGAACCATTGTGTTGGTATTTATATTAGAATTAATACAGGTGCAGTTTTGTTTATTATTTTCTGGCAGTGTGAATGATGAAAATATGACCCTTTGGATAGGTGGATTGTTTTGACTGTTCTGGTCGTATTTGGATCCACCAATGGTATTCTTGTCATAGTTACACTGACTATACTGCCTGTCTTATTTCCTACTTTCCTCTTGTAGAATATGATAAGGTTATTTAAAATATCTTTTTCTATGTAAGTTGAACTTTGTATGTCTTTCAAAAAGCTCAGGCAGGGAGTATGGCAAGGCAGTGATTTACAGTAGGGGTGAAATCTACCAATTGTATGCTTTGAGCTTTAGATTTACAGCCATTAAATTTTGAAAATAGAGGTGTTAAACCTATCACAAATGTAGCTTTATGACAATCTGCATGTTATACAGTGGCTGTGCAAGCAAGGTGTATGTGACAAACATGGAAAATGTTGGAGAAGCACAGATCAAGCAGTGCAAGTGGAGAGAGAAACAATTAATGTTTCGAATCCAGTATGATTCTTCAGAACTTTGGCATTCTGAAGAGTGATACCAAACTTGAAACATTAACTGTTTATTTCTCCACTGATGCTGCTAAATCAGCTGAGTTTAATGTAAGGGTCTATTTTATTTCCACAATGTCAGACTTCCTCTATAAGTGGCAGTTTAGTTTGGATTTTGCACTATTGATAATGACTGATATTGAAGTTCTGTGTTTGGTGATATTCTTCACTTGCCTGTAGATTGGTCCACGCCGTATTCACACAGTGAGAGTCCGTGGCGGTAATAAAAAGTACCGGGCACTGAGGTTGGATGCTGGAAACTTCTCCTGGGGTTCTGAATGTAAGTTGTTTGTGCATAGTCTTATTTCTTTATTCTGTGCTTGTGTTTCTTTGGTGGATACTTTCCAGTTAACTGTGTTATCGCTAAACCAATAGTAAAACATCTGTCATTGCAGGTTGCACACGGAAAACGAGGATCATTGACGTGGTGTACAATGCCTCAAACAACGAACTGGTTAGGACAAAAACATTAGTTAAAAACTGTATTGTTCTAATCGACAGTACTCCCTTCAGACAGTGGTATGAATCACACTTTGCGCTTCCACTCGGCCGGAAGAAAGGTGCCAAGCTGGTATGTGCCATGTTAACGATAGTTCTCTAATTATCAATCGCTTGACAGGAGTTCATTGAGTTATGTGGGCTGGTTCACTTAAAAATAAAAACATCCATTATAAGTTATAAAGCAGACATTGCAGAATTTATAAAATTGATTTTGTGCTGTGTGCACGCCCATTGCATGATAACTGCCAGGCAGTGTGGCAGCATGGTGTTCACATTGTCTGCAGAGCTTTTAAAGGTGATCTGTCATAAAGGAAAGGTACGTACGAAGTAAACTGTTCATGTATCCAAATCACATGATCGCCAGCAATCCCTAGTGATGTCTGGTGAGTTGTAGAGTTTCTCTGTCATGGACTGCGGTTAGTTTTTCGGAATTGGCTTGAAATATTGCAGCTATTTCAAGCGGTCCAAATCTTGACATTTACTGTTTTGTTCCTTAAAGAGCTTCCAGCCTGTTTTGGAACTTCGACTTTTACATTCTGAGTTCTTCTAAATCTAGCATGGTTTTAGCCTGCTGTTACTTCAGTCAATTTTTCCATTCATTAACTGCTCTAGTAACTCCAGCGACTTCAATTTTTTTGATTACGTTGAAGCTTGAACCTGTTCCACGTGTTGCTTCTGTGGCAGTTTAGTTTCCTCTGTCCTGCTTCGGTTGTTTCACTAGAACATTTGATTTCTGAAAGGACTCTTTCCATTGTTCATCTCCACCTATTTTTGCAGGTCTCTCATTTGCTCCAGTGTTGCTTTGAGCTCACGCTGCTATGTTAGCAGCTACTTCTGCTGAGTCTGATCTGTTTTACATGTGAGTGGCTCCAGATCTTCCTGCAGCCTGACAATGTTTTCACTGAATTGATGATACAGTTCTTGCAGTTCATATTGCTCCCTTTGTTTCTTTGTCAGCTGTTCATTCGTCTTTTGTGAAATGAGAAAAGATTTCCCATAACGATTTTATAATTTATGACATGACATTCTCAAGGTTGGATTTACCCTGAGCTAATTATTCAGCCTTTTCCTCTTTAATTTTCTCCCCCTCAGCAGTGGGCTGAGATTTTAGTTCCACTAATTCAGAAGAAGAAAGTGAAGTATTCTGTTCGTTCTTATTCAGTTCTGCTAGTGTTTCTTAATAGTTTTCAGTTTCTGTTGTGTCTCTAACTGATGCAGTGTACTGTGACCACTGGTGGGCCACGCATGGTTTTATACCAGCAATGTGACAAAGAACACGTGCACAGTCCGGACAGATTAGTTGTATGTTGGAAGTTTTACATTTGTGGGATTTGTCATGCCTTCCCCAGACCAAAAATGCATATTTTTTAGAATTTCAGAGTAGTATATTGATGCTTGCCCCTGTGTCAATCTTGACCAATATTGATCAGATGTTTGGCGTTTGTGCAAGCACTTGGTGAGGTGGTGTGATGGCATTGATGTTTCCATGTGAATAACAGTGTTTCGCACTATGTTCACCACTCTTGTGTATATTGTCAAGATGCTGGTTTGTTTGTCACCTCTGTTTATGCCTCTGGTGTGATACCTGATGGTTTGTATTGTGGTTTAAAGGTACTCCTCCTTGTGTGGTCTGTTGAAACAATGCACAATTTTTTGTAGCAGCACTACACTTTGCTCTAGTGCACTGCCCCTGCCAATGGCCTAATCTACCACATGCCTTGCAAATTGATTTGAAATCTGGAGTCCACATCTTTCACATATCTTGCTATGTTTGGGTGTTGTCATTATGACTACTGCTGTGTTTGTGGCTGTGAGGATCGCTTTATACTAATGTCAATACTCTAGTAGCTTTTCAGTGATTTAATTCATTGGTTTGATGAGCAAATCTTTCTGGAAAGCTTCCATGGAGTGGGTTCAATCACTAAGTTACAAATTCTGTTTGCTAGCTCCCCGTCTGAAACATTAAAATGAGCCCTTTACCTTGCATCTGCTCACTGAGGTCTATGGATGTCTAAATTATGTGACTCCAGTTAAAGAATATGGAAGTTAAATCAATTATGAACTGGTCTTCTAATGTGGTCCATAGCATATGGAGACTTTTCATCTGTTAAATCTTTATGTCTGCTAACCTTTGTTCCTGATGGGTGGACAAATTTTAATGGCTTTTCTGTATCAGACATGTTCAAATCTAGAAATTATAGCTCTAAATGCTGTTTACATATGAAAAGATTTTTGCGCAGTCTAATTTTCCCAATTTAAACTCTGGAATTGTCTTGCCACTCTTAATGATATGCCTTCAACCCTCAGAAGAGTGTCCCACCCAGATCCTCACCCTAACCCTGTAACCTCTCATTTCCCATGGTTAATCCATCTAACATGCACAGAACACCATTGGACAATTTAGCATGGCCAATCCATCTATGTTGCACATCTTTGGACTTGCTTGTGATCATGTACCTGGATTTCCAGAAGGCATTTGACAAGGTGCCACACCAAAGGCTGCTACATAAGATGAAGTTGCACGGTATTACAGGTGATGTATTGGCATGGATAGAGGATTGGTTGACCAGTAGAAAGCAAAGAGTAGGGGTAAATGGGTGTTTTTCTGGTTGGCTGTCAGTGGCTAGTGGTGTGCCTCAGGGATCAGTGTTGGGACCGCAATTGTTTACAATTTACATAGATGATTTGGAGTTGGGGACTAAGTGTGGTGTGTCAAAATTTGCAGATGACACTAAGGTGAGTGGTAGAGCAAAGTGTGCAGAAGACACTGAAAGTCTGCAGAGGGATATAGATAGTCTAAGTGAGTGGGCAAAGGTCTGGCAGATGGAGTACAGTGTTGATAAGTGTGAGGTCATCCATTTTGGTAGGAATAACAGCAAAATGGACTGTGTTTTAAATGGTAAAAAAATTGCAGCACGCTGCTGTGCAGAGGGACTTGGGTGTCCTTGTGCATGAATCGCTAAAAGTAGGATTGCAGGTGCAGCAGGTAATTAAAAACGCAAATGGAATTTTGCCTGCCATTGCTCGAGGGATGGAGTTTAAAAACAGGGAGGCTATGCTGCAGCTGTATAGGGTCCTGGTGAGGCCACACCTGGAGTACTGTGTGCAGTTTTGGTCTCCTTACTTGAGAAGAAATATACTAGCACTGGAGGGGGTGCAGAGGAGATTCACTCAGTTGATTCCAGAGTGGAGAGGGTTGGATTATGAGGACAGACTGAGTAGACTGGGATTATACTCATTGGAATTCAGAAGAATGAGGGGAGATCTTATAGAAACATATAAGATTATGAAGGGAATAGATAAGGTGGAGGCAGGGAGGTTGTTTCCGCTAGCAGGTGAAACTAGGACTAGAGGGCATAGCCTCATAATAAAGGGAAGCAGATGTAGGACTGAGGTCAGGAGGAACTTATTCACCCAAAGGGTTATGAATCTGGAATTCCCTGCCCAGTGAAGCAGTTGAAGCTACCTGGCTGAATGTTTTTAAGGCAAGGCTAGATAAATTTTTGAACAGTAAAGGAATTAAGGGTTATGGTGAGTGGGCGGGTAAGTGGAGCTGAGTCTCACAAAGATCAGCCATGATCTTATTAAATGGCGGGGCAGGCTCGAGGGGCCAGATGGCCTACTCCTGCTCCTAGTTCTTATGCACATGTCTTGATCACTTGCCATTCTCAAGTCTGTTAAACACGTGATAGGCATTTGTCGTTCACCGACAAGCTGTATTTTTCAATATTCTGGAACCTACAAAGGCATTGAGATTGACTTGTGCACTTTAATAAATGTAAGACTGTCGGACCATGCGTACTTCCTGTAGATTCATATCAGGCTGTTCAAGCTTGATAGGACCTCATCAGCACAATGTTTTCTGTCACCATTCACCATTACATTTTAATGGTGTAATCAGTCGCTTACAAGGACTGATTAACTCC